TTTTCTTTTTCTTTTTCTTTTTCTTTTTCTTTTTCTTTTTCTTTTTCTTTTTCTTTTTCTTTTTCTTTTTCTTTTTCTTTTTCTTTTTCTTTTTCTTTTTTCCCAGGCAGCTGGCAGTCTTAATTGCTCTGAAGAAAAAGAAACAGAAATTTCTGCTCTTGGTATTCAGGGTCGTAAATCATTCAGTGCTTTAACTCCATGCCTCCCTGCCTAATTTTCCCTTATCAAAGCTGGATGAAACCCCTCTTAGTTGCCTTGCTGTAGACATTGAGTAGATCCTCTAAATGTCTCTGTTTTGCACTGATTTAATGTGAGTAGAATTTAACCTATATTCAGCATCCAGTACCTGAAATAATTTTCCCAGGTAAGCACAGAACATTGGATAGTCAGTTTTATTAGAGTTATTAAAGGGAAGCTGAGAATCCATATTCATAGCAATTCCACCCACTGCTTACCTGGATACACTGGATTTTTTTCTTCTGACTGTGGAACAAAATGGTGTTTTGCCATCTGAAGACATTTCAGCAACAGGGCAGAAGTTAATGATGAACTGGACTGCATTGTAAAATATCATAAAACCTTCCAGGATTTAAAATATCAGGGGGGTTAAATGTGTCGAATTAACTGAATTAAAGTATTCCAAGCCGTTCCTTCCTCTCTGCTTGCCACCTGCCAGAGTGCTGCAATTCCCTGCGCAGAAGTGTCACAGGTTGGTGATGCTGCAAATGTACATGCGTGTAGAATGTTGTCACTGTGTAATACATGCTTATCCTAAACCCAGACCATGGCAGAAAAGAGCCTGCTAGTTGAATTTATTTCTATAGTCTTCATTCCCTTTTATCTGTTACCTTTAGTCCAGCATACAGGAGGGAGCAGGAGTCCTAATGAGGAGGTGGCTGAGCACGCCCTTCAATGAAGCTAGTTTTGGCTACATTCTGCTTAACTGCACCTCTCGGGATGAATCCTCACCTCGGACATTGCTGTTCAGTGATCTAAAACGCAAATTTACAGTATCTACCACTTACCATAGGGATACTGTTCTCATCTTGGTGCTCCAAGATCTAAAAATGGTTTCTGGGAAACTGAATGCCCAAGCAGGTTATCCCTTGAATACAAGAAAGCCTTTTGGTTTTATGAACATAAATCTGGAGGATTTAATCAAACTTCCCTGACATTACATTTTGCCAATTTCATGTCTGTGCTACAAGCTTGCTTTGTGGGTTAGTTTATTCACCTTTAAAATTGAAGTTATCCTGCAGTCAGTGAATATATTGCCTTGGTAATACTTAGAAATTTGCTTTCTTTTCCCATTAGGTGATAAAAAACTCGGACTGAGAAACAAGATTTATTGTAGAGTTTCTTGCCCTGTTAAGGGAACTGAAAAATGGGGAACGGTAAGGAAAACAGAGAATCAGTGCAGTGGGCTGGTGAAATTCAGGCTTTTTGTAGGTTACACTGCATGGCTCCAAAGCGATTTGTTTTGTAAAGGTAGGCTTGCCACCTCGACGCCCTTTTCTGCAGGAAAGCAGCAGAAGTTGAATACCCAATCCCACTTCTTCCCTGACAAGTGCATATAGGTTCTTTTCCATGTGTATACTTCTTGCCGTGTTTTCTGGAATGATGCCAGAGACACTTACAGGAGCATACTCCATGATTTTAAACAGTTTTTGTAAATCTAAATAAACTTCTCCATAAATATGTTAGTCCAAGCCTACAGCAATCTAAGGCTGATTTAGGAGTACTGCAGTATTCCTAGTGCTTATTTCAGCCTGCTAAATATCTCATTTGCTTAGATCTTTTCACCGGGTTTTGGTCTCATGATTGATTTTTATGTTATTTAATAATTTCCTTAAATATGTTGGCACAGGTGATTTGACACAGTGAGTGGTCTCAACAAATCACCCACAAAACATTCCTCTTTTCTGTAGAATTCCTGTAGCCCTGCAGAAAGAAATGAAGGGAAGAAGGTGTGTCAGTCTGAGCAACTGTATTTTAGGCTGTAACTTCTACCCTATCTCTTTTGTACTCTGGAGCAGTATTTCTAGAGTTATTGGAGGAAATGACATTAAAAGTGAACAGAAGTATACAAGAATAATCTCAGAGGAAAAGATTCTTCTGTCATTCTTCCTATTTTTATAGGAACCTTTGCTGATTTACTTGCCAGATGAAGGCAGGCTTTCTGTTCTCTCACCTTCTTTTTAATTCAGTCAGACACGTTCACTGTGAGGTCACGCACATGGGAATGCTACACTGTAGAATCACAACTTGTTTGCAGTGGTTTTCCTGAATACGCTAACTCCTAGCTGATCCAGAGCTATTATATGGATCTTCAAGCCACAGGTACATTTGCTATGAAGCTGTTCAGTGAATGTCTTTTCACAGAGTGTGAATGTTCTCGTATATGTAAAGCGGTATGTGCTAAAGGGTTGTGGCTGTTAAAATATGCTTTCTGTTGTATATGGGTAGAAGTCAAAGCAGTGGCAGCTCAAACACAAGAGTAGGATATTTTTAGTTTCAGGAAAAGCAGTGTACAGTGTGTGTAACTTGTTAAAAAAAAAGGACTGCAGTTTGAAATGTGTAAGGGGATAATTTATATAAATCTGGAGAAGGCATAGGATACAAATCAGACAAAATATATCCTGGTAACGTTGAATCTAGGGATTGCTTTGGGACATGAGCAAGCTTTGGCCACCTTGAAAATTCTTATATTTTATAGAAGTGGTTTCTTCTGTAAAAGAACCTGAGAAATATTTTACAGTAAATAAAAGCAGTAACAAAGCAAATGCAGTCAGCCCTCCATATCTCCCCATACTAATGCATTCACCAGACTCTCTTCTAAAGTGCAGTGTAATGCAGGTTACTGCTTCCACTACACCTTAGCCGCTAGGAGTTACAGCTCTTGACCTTTAAATGTTAGGAATAATAAAATACATTATTAACAAGTAGTCAATTAATGAATAAATGCCCCTCTGGTAAATCCATAAGTAATGTTTTGAAATACTGCCACCTTCTGATAAATTTGGGATGGAGAACTGAGTCATAAGGAATTTGTCAACGTTTTTATCAACAGTAATAATTCAGTTCCTGATTTTATAATGTTAGAGACATGTTGCACCATATGTGAGATTATGTATACAATAGCATAAAGAGACGAAGAAAATGAAGTATGATTTCTTACAAGTGATGGGAGAGGCAGTAGCACACTTTGAAGTAAGGAAAAGCACTTGGGTACATTATATGTGTGTTTAAGAATTTATAAGCACAGAGCCTATGTTTTAAGTTACATACAGAATTGCAGCTAAAATGTTGGTATGACCTGCAGGATGAGCTTTGCCAGAGGACAGGTAGATGTGCTTTGAGTCTTAGAGAAGCAGACTTCCCTACTGCTGTGTAACACCTGTCTCTGACATGAATGTGTCCATAAAGGGTTAATTTCTTTTAGGATTTTTACTTTGCTAACATTCAGATGATACTTGTCTGCATATCACCTCTGTGTATATTTTAATTATCCAGATGGAGTTTTATGTGTCCAGCCCCATATCATTATTATATTACTTAAACTTGGCAGTGATACTTAGAAATAACTTTCCCCAAGCTGGCTTTTTCTTGCAAAGTTCATCCAGTTTCAGCTTTCTAAATGTCCTTTGTGCTGTGGCAATATATATTGTGTACCTAAATGGCTTGCATATCATTTAAATTCCCTTGACAGGAAAAGTCTGCTTGGCAGAGAAAATAAGTACTTAAAAGAACCAGAAATTAATACAAAATCTAAGCTAATGTGACCTTAAAGTTACCATTTCAAACTCCCAGAATTTAGGGAATCCAAAGCATCTTAAATTTCCTTTGATTCACCCAGGTTCTTTGTTGGGCTCCAGTGAGATCAGGATGCCTGTGTCACACTCCCACCTGTGGGGTTGTTATGGACCAGGCTGATGCCAAGGGCCGGGCTGCATCATGTTTTCCCCAAAGGGTGCAGATAAGGTGTGCTTGTATTGTAGGCACAGTGGTTTTTCCCCAGTAAAATTAGTATTTTGAGATGGTGTCTGAGAAAGCAGATTCCTCCTTGAAATGTTATTTTGGAACAGTAACAGGACTTACATCAGCAAAGGGAGAGAGTGACTTGTTTTGAAGCCACAACATTGCTTTGTTAATGCATCCCATGTGATAACTCTCATCTTACCTGGAGTACCATGAGCAGCACCTGTGGGACATGTAGTAGGAGCATGCAGACTTGAACAAACATAGGCATTGCTTAGGCAGTTAGGCAGTATCAGGGCTTGGTCAGGGAAAGCACACTGGCTGTCTGTGGGGACTGAGGCCCTTCCCATGATCAGTGTAAGTGTTTGTACATTTTATTTACTTTCTCATATTAATCAGCTTCTCAGATTTCCCACTCATTGTATGGTGTTCTTTTTGTTTTTTTTGACTTTCAGTTTTGTACCTTGGTAATATTTTAACTCATTAGCTGATTTCAACCTAATTTTAGCAAAGAGGAGTCTTGAGAGTGCTGAGTTTTTGTGAACTTTCTGAAAATACGCAGGCAAGTAATGGACTCAAACCCGTACCAGTGCCCCACTAAAGGGAAAGACTGAAATTTGAGCTCAACTGTATAATTGTACACTAGAGAATCCATGTGCAAGAGAGATGTACTGAATGAAAGTACTCAGAAACCAAACTTCAAAAATTCTTCTGCTTGTGCAATTACTTGTTCGTTGGCTTTGATAACTCTAAAGCAGGTAAAGAGATTTGTGTTTAGCCAAAGAAGTTAAGTTCTGCAGCAGGACTTGTACTGTAGTCTGCCTGGTAATGGCAGGTGAAAGTCAAGCTCTGTTATGCGCAGAGGGAACACCCTGGAGGTGAAGTCTGTTATGACCAGTAATGTGCCATTTCTGTCATTACAAACTGAAAATAAGAACCGTTTTCTCATCAGAAGGGTGAATGGGCTTGACTCCTGAGCACTTAGCACGTGGAGCTGTGCTGTCATCCCAAGGTGCTTATCTTCCTGGCAAGTTTCTAAATATGGGTTTCTTGTTTCAGTTTAATACGGAAAAATCTCTTCTATTGAACAATGAAAACTTTGTCTCTTGAGTTTCAAATAAGGGACTATCCTATCCCACAGTGGTGTTTTGGAGCTTCACAGACTCTGCTAGATGCAAATGACAAGCCACACAGCAAGATTTGATAGTGATCTCCAAGTGTTTTTAAAACAGATCTTAACCATATGTACAGTGTGCCACTTCGGCTGTTGTATATCGAGCTCAGGAGAAGGCAAGTAACATCATTGCCTTCAGCAAAATTGTCAAACAAGGAAACCTTTTAAAACTACATAGAGAGGGAATGTAATGAGAGCCCTGGAAGGAAGAGGCTAAGAGAAGAAAAATTGGCAGGGAACATTAACATATACTTTTAACCAGTCTTTTCACGGAAAGAAGAATGACCCAGAGGTTTTTCTGTTGTAGTTCTTTATCCAGTGAAAGGATTTTGTATGTGCTGCTGTGCAGAAGAGAAATGCTTATTTCCCCTGTGTTATTTTACATTTCAGTTTGGAAGAGCAAGAGGAAGCTTTATTTAGCCTGTTGAGTCCAACCTCACAGTAATACAGCATATAAAAATTTCAAGAAGTGAAAGGCATACTGAGCTCACATTTCAGATAGTTTTCAGGATAACTCCTTGGCTGTTATAACTGTATGTCATACTAGACATAAATTGTTAGAAATTATTTGCTACAGTCTGCATTTGTATTACCTCCCAGGGACCTTTCAGACTGGATTTATAGAGAGAGATGTTTCCTGAATGTTTCTTTCGAAAGAAGCTACAGATCGCAGGACAAATCAAGTTTTGATGAAATAAGGACTCTGAATTTGAATTGCTGACTGATGCCAAAGAGTTAGAGAGTGCATCCTCTGGGG